TCGTGGGAAGCCATGAGCGGAGTGTATTCTGTAAACCGTCCCGAGGGCCCCCTCTGCTCCCGTGCGTCCCGGGGTTTATCGTCCTTTCTTTTTTCCCCGGTTCGTCGAGGAGGGGCGGTATCTTGTCGCGGATTGCTGCTGGATCCGCGATTCCTGGGGTCTCGGGCTCTGTTGGCCACTTCTCTCTCCTTGTAGTCCATGTAAGCTCTGGCTTTCTCGAGGAGGGTGCCGAACGTTCGGGGTGGTTCGATGCCCACGGCTTTCCTGAATTCGGTACCGGGGAAGAGCCCCCTCTCCAGCAGGTATCTCTTCATATGGTCCGTGCAAGGGACCTGGATGGCTTCCCGATTGAAGCGGTTGATGAATTCCCTCAAGGTCTCATCGTGCTTCTGGACTATGGCCTCGAGTGCCGCTTCAGTCTTCGAATGTCGCCGCGATGCAGTGAACAAGCTGATGAATTGGTTCTTCAAGTTTCGCCACAAGGTAATTGACCCCGGGGCGAGACCCTTGTACCAGTCCATAGCTGCTTTCCTCAAGGTCGTGGGGAACAACTGACATTTGATTCGTCCCTCGAAGTTGTGGTAGTGCAGCATGGCCTCGAACCCGTCTATATGGTCGACCGGGTCGGCGACGCCGTCATATTCTTTTAAGTGGGGAGGCTTCTCCATGCCCGAAAGAATGGGCGCCTCCATGATAGCCCGTGACAAGGGACCGCAGGGGTCATCCTCGTCACTCCGTTCCGGAGAGCGGGACAGGGATCTGATGTATTGTCGGTCACGATGGCCCTGGTCGTGCAGGACGTTCCTCGAGCGATGTGACCGTTGATAGATTCCTCCGCGTCTGTCCCCGGGAGGTCTTCGTTCTTTCTGTGAGGGACCGTGGTCGAGCCTTTCCGCTTCGATGATTGGTTCCCTCTCCAAGCGGGGTCGTCGCCCGACTGGTCGGGGCGACGAGCTTTGAGAGAAGTCTCGGTCCTGTCTCCGTGAAGGAGATTGGGTACGTTCCTCCGTTCTTCGAGGAGGAGGGGATTGAGGCCTCCTGTGTCTTCTAGGGGGCCTTCGGTCGTCTTCAAGTGCTCTCAATCTTTCCCCCTGGGTAAAGATGAGATAGTTCGTTTGGTTAATTGCCGCGAACAGTGCCCTGGTCGTGGCGTCTGCCCCGGCAGGGACAGGGACCTCATGGAATTGGACGGTTGGATCCTCTTCAATCCGGGGAGGGACTAATGAAGATGAAGCCGTGGCTCTGTCCCGGTAGTTAGAGGGCCCGGGGAAGATGCCTCCGGGGAGTGTTATGGTCGGTGATGCCAGCGTTGTCGGGCCCGCCATTTTTGTTGGCGATGTTGTTGTTAGCTTCAACGATGCTGACGTTCTGGTTGTCCTGAGTCTGGTCAGCCATGACAGTCGAGGATGGTTTTAGCTTTGGTATTTTTAAGCGAATAAGACGGGGAAGCTTAGATTCCCACAGACGGCGCCACTGATCGTACCTGATCAAAATTGGACCGTCACAGTTGACTTCGAACTGAATTTGAAGGAGATGGGGGGTACTTGCAAGACACTCTGATGACAAAGTGAGAGACAGAATGAGCAGGCAGGCGAGTATATTGGTGTGTATGAAATGAATACCTGACCCTCTCGAAATAGAGAGTATTTATAGCCCCCAGCATTGGGCCAAGGTCCCTGTATTGGGCTGACTAAACAGGCCCAACAAAGGGACTGCCAGATTCTACGTGTGTAGTGGGGATCTGCACGTGGTCCCCTACCTGGATGATGCTCTCCGCAGAATAGGGAGGGTGAAGACGCGATCTTCTCGGAACCCTGAGGACTCCGAGATATTCGGAGAGGTTGAGAGTCTGCCCTAAGAGGAGGGTGCTCGAGCAGGACTTAGATTGGGATGTTCCTCGTCTGGGACGTCCCTCGTCGGGGACGCTCTTCGCGGTCACCGGCGGACACAATTATATTCGACCAAACACCCATGATCGGATTGTGTCGGAGAGTATAATACTCAGTATAATATATTGTAAAGTTTAGATTGGGCCTCGCTGGTGATTGGGCCACGAGCAGGCCCAATCTAAAACACAAACATACTTTAAAAAGTGTGACATCTCATTTATTTATATTAAAAAACAAATTTTAATTGTTAGACTTTGAATATTTCTAAATTCAAAGAAATATTCATGTTTAGTACCAAAAATATAACTATGCAAAAAATTTATACCAATTTTTCTTTTCAACTTCAACACACATAAATGACAAGATTACCATATAATTATAGATGATGCTCATAAATGTCTTAACTTTTAGAACACATGTTAAAGAATAAGCAAATCCTAAAAAATTTATATTAAAAAGTACAATTTTCCAATTTTTAAAAATTGAATATATTATTATTTTTATTTGTAGACAGAATGAATATGAATATAATCATTAGAAATTTTCACTCTCACACACAAGTGTGAGAGATGGATTTAAATTCTGGTTAAATCTGACCTAATAATATTAATTATAATTGAGATAGGATATGCGGACAAAATACACTATTTTTTAATATAATTTTTTTACACAATTTATGTATTTATAATAATGTAATGACTCTTATTAATAATTTTATACTATTAATTGTTTGTATGTTTTACTAAACAAATATTATTCACTCTTTTTTATATTATAAATTAATTTATAAATTTTTTATTTATATTATAAATTATTTTACAATTTCAATGAGTATCATTTATCATTTGTTATTAGTTTTTTCATACAATTTTATTAATTTTCTTTTTAGTATTGTTAATAAAAAATTGTTAGTAAAAAATAATTTCATAAAGTATTGTAATTATAATTTCTCTATCCAATATAAATATAAATGAATTATGTTTTTTTTTATTTGTATAAAATAACAAATTATTTATCAATTCATACAAATAGAGTATAATATAGAAAATTAACATTGCAAGAAGGCATATGCCCTAATATAAAATATTTTTACACTTTCAACCAATAAAAATAATATATTTTTCTAAATTATACTTTTAATTTTAAAATATTAATATGATAAAATATACATAAATATTTTTTATCTATTATATGTATAATATTATTTTATAATATCTGTGTACTACTTTAAACTCATTATTTTCTTAAGTTGGTTTTTAATTAAAACAATTTATATTCATTGAGTATAGCAAAAGTGTTAGTTTTTCATGATATATTATGTCTAGTTAATAAATTTGTTAGTAAAAAATACAAAAAAAATAATATTAAATAAGATTTATTTACAGAAATTGTACGAGACAGGTTATTTATAGCTATTTATAGTTTATTTTAATAAATATAAGAGAAAAGTAATAATACATAGTTAACTAATTACAATTTTGTATTAGAATAAATTATATTTTAATTTTAATTTTTTTTTAATGATAAAACAATTTATTGACTGACAGTGCAAAATAATTGTATATTGTCTGTGTATATAAATTAAAGTCTAAATATAAACTATTTTTGTTTATAATTTATTTTAGATAAAGCAATATATGTATAAATTATTAAGGGTTAAATATATTTCTAATCTTCCTAAATATCTCTTATTTTATTTTAAATTTTTTAAAATATTTGCTTTGAAAAATGATCTTCTTAAACTTTTTTATAATATTTAGTCTCTCTTTAAATTTAACGACGTTTTTTATAATTTAACGATAAAATTAACAACGATACCTATTTATCGATTAAATTAACGATAGTTTTAATATGAGAGATAGAAAATATAGATTAAAAATTTTAAAAGAACTATTATTTAAAAAAATGATTTATAATAATTAAAATCATAATTAAATTATTTAGAAAAATGAAAAACATATTTAATCCGATTCCTAAAATCATCAGAGTGATTATTGATTTTCTAATATAATTTAAAGAAGCTTAAAAACTTTACATATTAATTCAACATTAATCTTGCGTCCTAATAAAATGAAAGGTGGGTAAATGTTTATATTAACACAGCCTATCTTATTCAACCTCTTGCCTAATTTGCCTTGAATTGGTAGTTGGTTGATGAAATACAAGTGGATTTACTACAACTAACTAACTACTACCTACTTTATGCTTAGCTCACCTGTATTTTATTTTATATTATTTCGTTTTCACTTTCTCATTAATTTATAATACTTTTAATATATATTTTTTTGTTTTACATAATTTTTTTTTGTCTTATAGTCTACTTGATTGAATTTCATTTTTTTTTAATGTTGAATAAATGAGTTATCGTGAGTTCAAACTCATGAACATATATTTACTATCTTTACACAATTATCTCTTGAATTGATTTAACGAGATTAAATTATGTTTTTACTATAAATAATAAATACAATCATAAAAACATAAATAATTTTTTCTCAAAATTTTTTCTTAAAATAATATTAATTATCAATAAATTTTAAATTATTTCCAACTTTTTAGTTATGAAAGTTTTACTAAGAGACTTTATATTTAAAGACAAATATAATATATGCATTAGGGAGAAAAGTCAGAATGATTGAATTAAATAATCATGATTTACTATAGTTGTCTTTAAGTCGAGGAAAAAAATAGAATATATGAATAATTATAATACTCATTACATGAGTAATTCTCATTATACTCTTTAATATGTCCAATATTCTCACCAAACTCAAAGAAAAAAAAATCTTCCGCCGTTCTTTGGATTAAAATTTCCTTCTTTGTTCATGATTAATAAGAATTTAACATGTATTGCCAAATATATGAATATATTTCACGTTGGACTTCCCCCATCTTTCATAACGAGTGACATTGGTACTTGGGAAAATTATTATTCGAATGTTAATATGACAGTCAATATTCATTGCTTCAGCCCAAAAATGATATGGTAGGTGTTTGACGCGAAGCGTAACCCTCGCCATTTCTTGTAAGACACGATTATTCCTCTCAACAATCCTATTCTACTGAGGTGTGATAGGGGTAGAGACAAATTTTGCTAGAATTCGTGCAAAAATGGTATGGTATTTGTGCGTGATTCTCAATAGAATAATGTGTTTTTTTCAATCTCTTATCAAGTAGTATATTTTTTTTAATATATGAATAATAATGTAGTGGGAAAACAAGGGTGGACAAGAAGTCACTCAAGCTGAGATGTTTATTGAAACACGAAAAAGTCGCAAGGGAAAACAAGTGGATGAGGAAACCCAATTTGCAATTGTAAGTTAAATTATAATATCCTTTTTAATTGCACATGTACTTGTTTTTAATTTTGTTCAAAACTGATAGTTTGATATATTAGGATAAACTTCAAGAATCTATTGAAAATTCAACTGAAGCTGGAACACAAACATTTCAATCACTGTTTTGGAAAGAAAAGTCCGATAGAGTGAGATGTTATGGAAGAACTGCCACACCGTCATTGTTGAAAAAATGAAGAAATTTCTTTAATGAAAATGCAATATGATGGTAAAATTCCGACATGTCGCAAAAGATGGGAGCAATGGAAGCACTTTTGAAAAGCATGAATATGCAACAAAATCCATATTAAAGTGAAGAGGAAGTAGATGCTAAGATGAGAGAAGATTTGCACAATGATAATGTTCCAACACCACGCTCATCGACATCAACCTACACTCCTGCTCATTCAAAGATACTACAATTTACACTAATCAAAATCACATTTATTTTATTAAGTGTTGAGTTGTTATTTATTTATTTTTTGATTGGTATTAAGAAATTTTCATTACTGGAGTTTCTATTTTATAGTGTTGAGTTGCTATTTCATTAAAAAATGCTCAATTGCTTTCGGTCCACCTGCACTCATCCAATGAAACCATATCAAAATTAAATACAAAATTCATATACTCAAAGTTAAAGATATTCATGATCATGACAAATAACATTAATTTATAAATGAAAATTACCAGCCATTTTTAGTGATAAGTTGCTCCAAATTAATGTTAACATCCTTGTCTAATGTCTCCTTCATGCGTAGGGTCAGGAGAAGGTGTGAAAAATACAAGAAAGGGGATTTTGAATTGGTTTTTTAAACAAACAATATAAAACTATTCTTTTTTTAAAATATTCCCCTTTAAGTTAAAATACTTTTTTCTTCACTCTTGATAATAACAATAAGTAAGAACAGAAAGTAAAGAACAATGTATGTTTATATTAGTTCACTTGAAAATTATCAAGCTAGCCTAGTCCACCCGCCAAGGTGATTTCGCCTCACTCAATCAAGGACTTAATTCATTATAACCAATCTGATTACGATTTGCACAAGCTACTCGCAAGTGACTAACAACCTCTAAGACTCGCAAGCCCTAGACTTCTTAAGGATTTAGACCTACCCGGTCCCTTAAGAAATATCAAACAATAATTAACCTAATTATTACAATGCATAAGTTACCCGCAAGTGACTAACAACTTCTAAAACTTACAAGCTCTAGACTTCTTAAGAATACATACCTACGCGGTCCCTTAAGGAATATCAAACAATTGTTTGAATACAAGTTTTGTTTACAAGAATATTGCTTCTAAAAGGCTAAATGTGTAAACTATTTTATGAACAATAGACTTAACAATGTGAAAGCTATGAACAACATTTGTGCGTAATTATTCTGTTAATTGGAAGCTTTCTCTCTTAACCTTCAAGCCTTTATGTAGCCATTAAAATAATGTATCCATTGAGGGATACTCTTGGAATTTCCAGAAACATTGGCAGCTTAAACAGTAACGTGGGGGACAAGATTGTGTGACGCTTCTGTCCTTTCATGGTAGTGGAATGAAACTTGATTGTACCATGTACTGTTTGTACCACATTAATGTTATCTTCTTTCCTTCTGCACTTCAGATGCTTCTGCAAGCATGAGGTTAGAAGCGAGAACATAACATCAGGTTATCAGAACTTCAAGTCTTCAGAACTGCATCTTTGGATTCTTCAGAACTTGGTTATGAGAACATTTCCTTAAAACCTTGGGTCTTTAGAACTTCAAGTCTTTAGAATCTTTAAAACTTCTATCTTTAGAATCTTCAGCACTTGGCATTCAGACCCTTATCTTTAGAAACTTGTTACACAAGCTTTCAACATCCGGACTTCAGTAGAAACTTTGTTTTCAGATCTTCTAACTTTGTTTATTTGGAACACACTGTCTTTAGAAGCTTGAGTCTTCAGCATCTGGACGTAAGTAGAGACTTTTGTCTTCATACCTTATGTCTGGTTTCTTTTAGACAAATATCAGAGTTTACACTTCATAGCCTTCTAGAGTTTCTTGCTACTATTTAACAGAACTTGTGTAGCATAGAAGCGGAATCAATCCTCTTCTAATGTCTTGGCCACGCCATCCATCAGAAGCAGAACTTGTTTTTTAAGTACTCAACAATAACAAACATTAGTACAAAAAAATTGTTCATACAATCATACTCATTTGTTATCATCAAAACTCAGAGATAGTATTGCATAACCAAATCTTGTTCTTATGATCTCCCCCTTTTTGCTGATGACAAAACTATGTATTTTGATGACATAATTTTGTACATATAATCATAATCAGTGAAATTAGAAAGGTAAGAAATACTTATCATTTTTATGATACCCCCCCTGAGTCAATGACTTGATGAGGATCAAATATCCTGACTCTGAACCATTTCAATAAAACTCCCCTGGTTCCAATAGATCAGATATCGAGATCTTGAGATTCTTGACTCTGGATGCCAATAGACAAATTGAGATCTTGATGTCAAACGAACAATTGAGATCTTGATTTCACACAACTTCTTCTTATTAAATATTGACTTTAGATGCAAAAAGAATGAAATCTAGTTGAAATCTTTGTAATTTTAATGTCACTAAGACAACTTCCTAGATTCTCAATTTAGGAGTCTGATTCCAGATTTCACTTCTTGAAGTCTGATTATGAGTTGAAATTTTTTTTCAGAGTCTGAAGCAAATAGTCGTTTGAAGGCAACATGTTAGAAATAGTGCTTTCATATCTTTGTCTTTTAATCAGAGTTCTAATTTCCTGAAAAAGAAAAATAATTCTAACAGAAACCGAAGTTTAACTGAGTTAGAATGTAAGTAACTCTTTTCATAGAACATTTTCCAGAACTTGATTATTGAAATCAAAATTATGTTCATTTAATTACAATCCTTTTTATCATAATCAAAAAGGTAATTATGTGTGAAAAACATAAAAACCAGAGGAAACAATCAAGGAAAGACAAGAAAGGAAAGGGTGGGACAATTGTTGCAGATAGCAAGAGTCGCCACCGACTTTTCTTTTATCCAATAAGGAAAGGGTGAAAAGAACAGGAAAGACCTTTGATATGTTTTCTTGAGTTCGGGGGGTAGGTTATGAAAAGAGAAGGTGTTAGAACCCTTTTCATCCATAGTTATCTATGAGCTCTTAGTTGCTTGCTAGATCACTTTTGAAATTTCTTTATTTGAAATGTGTTTGTGGTAGGTTTTGAAAGTATTTTTGAAAAGCGCCTTTGTTTAGGAAAACTTTGTAATGATTCTCGTCTCTATAAGAATGCATACAAAGTGTTAGAATTTTGAAAATATTTCATGTTTTTGGAAGTGTTTGGTGTGTTTGAAAAGATGTTTTGTTTTTGAAGATGGATTGTGAGCAAGCAACTAAGAGCGTTCTACCTACTCAAAAAGTCTTAGTTTTTCTCCTCCTCCTTTAGATGTTGCTATCTTACTATTGATTTATAAGAAGACCTATCATTGGATGTGAAGGGACGGGTGTGGGTCATCGTATAGTCATAAAAGGCAATGTTGTGAGATACCTTAGTATTTTTCTTAAGGGTCCAAGATCATTTTGAAGGCAACATTCGAAGCATCGTCGAGGGACTATGATCTTGTATTTTGATTGTTTTTGCTAAGGTGTCTCACATGCATAACATGACCATTTTCTTAAGGCAACAAGTGGAATTAACCCTAGAGGTGCAAGTGTGTGAGTGTTTATTTTTCATGCATTGTTGTTCTCGAATTAGGGTTGTCTAAGTATTGATTTTTTATCTTTCCATACACACCCTAATTACTAACAATTATATGAAAGTGGTAAATTGCGGAAAATAAATATCCTACGCTATTACATCATTTAGGGATGGGGTATACAAATTTACAAATGGGGGGTGTAAAGCAATAAAAGTCCTAATTATTACAACCATATTGAATAGCAATGAAAGAAAATATGTAGAAAATATAAAAACAGTGTAAAAGAAAGGAAAATTGAATTTTTAACCATTATGTGTCGACACATGCATCTATGCATCGACACATAACTTTTCCTTGCTCCTGTAAAACCAAATCATCCTAGTATGAGTCGATGCATAATGGTATGTGTCGACTCATTCCTTGTTTGTGTCGACACATACGCGTTTTATGTCGACTCATGTGCCTTTTTTCTTTCTATTTTGTGCCTGTTATAGCAGTATGCATCGACTCATGAGGTTTTGTATCGACTCATAACATGTCCTGCCACTAAAATGAGTCGATCATGTGAGTATGTGTCGACTCATGCTACAATTTTTTCACTCTAACATTGTTTTAATGTCTGTACAAGTTAGTTCTCAATATATAATTGATAAAAATAAACAGTAACCATGTGATTAGCTTTAATGACAAAGATATCTATAATTTATCTTCACAAATGAATTATTAATTATGCTTTATATGAAGAGTTCAAAGTCAAGAAACTTACCTTGGAGATGGAATTTGTATTTTGAGTTTGAACTGTTGTGTTGGCTGTTCTTGAGCTTAGGAAATGGTTATAATGATGCTACAAAAGTTGTTCTTGTGTTTGAACAACTCCTATAAGACGTATGTGGAATGTTTGGATGGTTTGTTTGGACAGAACTTTGCAAGAAGTGAGAGGTTCAAAGTTTTTGACTTCAAAACTCAAGAGTGAAGGCTTTGTGGACAATTATGGCTTTTTGAGATTATGAGATTTTTAGGGCTTGTCTACACAACAAAACTTTTTGCTTTTCTCTCTATTTTTCTGACCTGCTTCTATTGCAATTGGCCTCACTATTTATAGAGGAGGTTTGAGAGGATGAGATAGTTTGTTTTACAAGCTGTCTAAATTCTGGTTTAGTTGAGATGAAACAACCAAGTTGTTATGAAAATTGGTGTTCCAATGCATGGTACAAGCATAGTCTGAAGTTTATAGGAGCTTCTAGGTATGTTGCTTCTTGCTTTGACATTGCGTATGCAGAAAAAATAGTTGAGAGGCTCAAGGAGAGTTGACTTTGTATAAAGCATGCTTTGTGTGAATGTCAATGGTGCCTTTGTGCCATAAATGGAATGATGAAATCGACAATACTTGAATCACTTGGATAATGGTTCAATCAATTGTGTAAACATCTGATTATGGAAAGATTTGAAAGTCACAAGGCCTGCAAAGTAAGATTATGCAGCACATCATGCAA